GTTTTAAAAGTAACTTTGTAATTAGTAATTTGCTAACTGCAAGTCAGAACCCACGTAGACGCTGTAAACCTTTACAGTAAAGAGGTAAAATGCTTTATGCAGGCTTCGCACACCAGCTCAACAAATTAAACATCACAGAAGAAGAAACTGGAATGATTTAGTGAATATTATGAAATTATTTCATTTAAAAAAAACACACACACAATATGCCTCACATTAACGGCCTCCTAAAACTGTTATATTAGCTCATGATGTTGTGATGACTTTCATTTTACATTGTTAAAGATGATTTATTGATGGACTGGGGACCATAACAGCAAGTAGAGCATCCTTCTACAAACTCTCACACAACTCGTGCAGTATAAACCTAGTCTCATGAATACAGTTGCACGAGAAGTACTCCTTGGAATCTGGCTTTGAAGAGAGCACAGATACGTTCCACTCTCAGTTCAGCTTTAAATAGCAATGTTCCAACTTGTCATTGTCCCATAGAAATCTCAACATGACAAACTCCTCAATAGAATTGTTTATTAATTTGTTATAAGGCACACAATGAGCAAATTTGCTACCTCAGTGAACTTCAGCCAATGATTCATCACATAGAATGTGTAATCCCCGTGCCCTCTCTTTTTGTTTTGATCCCTCCAGTGCTGTACCTGCTGTACATGTATTTATAGAAAATATATAGGGGCATGCATTAATGCTGAACTCTGGAGTTTAAAACTTTGTTGTTGATACTGAACTTGAATTGCACAATACACTTGACTCTCTTGTGGGTGGGTGAGCACTAGCAGTGCAGACAAGTGCAATATTGGTTGTGTAGGACCTGTGAAGGAGCAACTTTCTTCTTATTCAGCAAAGTCCAAAACAAACGGGCAACTTAGAAAAAGAAGTCTAACTTTTGAACAGCTCTCCAGACTAGGAAGAAAAGCAGAGCAGCAATCAATACACAGATGTCAATCAACGGATAGCTTTGGATCATTTTAAGTCTGTCTAAATTCTTACATGCCAGATGGATGATTTTAGAGAAAGGTTTTGGACGTTGTACTTGTACTTCCTCTCCATCTGATCCACAAAGCTATCCCTTTTTAATGCAACTGGATTGTCAACAATGAGAGACAAAATCTTGCTATATGCAAAAATGCATTCAAGTGTTTCTGTGAGCTTATATTCAGCAGCCTGAGTTAGCCACGTCAAGTGGGTATCTTTGTCCTCGTAGATAACGTAGGTTGTGTTGTGTCCCCAAACGAACCTGCATTTGATACCAGGACGTGTATCTCTGCTGCAGCTCAGCAAGAAAACACTGAATTTTATATTAGAAATATGTAACTCACACTACTGAAGTCTCATATCAGGTTCAGCTAATATGAGGCTGATTGAAGACGTCTAACTCCACCACATGATGTCTTGGAGATCTGATCTGTCTTACTGATGTGTTTTTCGCTCATTTTTTTTACAGGAGAGGTTTGCCACTTTATTTTTCAAATGGCCATGATTGCAAGGGAATATTTTGTATTCATGTCACAGTGAATCATACACCCAGGGGCCACTTTATTAGATACACATATACAATTTATTGCAACAGCTCTGCCATAAATTCTACCCTTCACAAAGTTTATAGTGTTCAGTTTTTGTGGATATTACCAGAAATATGTAAATTTGAATTCATATGCTTGTTACTGAAGTATTTCACTGCTTTACATAAAACTGGGCTGTCTATGCAGTGAAAACATGCAAATACTTTTAAATTTGGTGCTATATGACCAGAGAAAACACAGAAAAGGGCTGTGGCATTTGTTGTTCATCAAGAGGTAGAAAATCCTTCAACTACCAGAATGCACTGTGCCACAATGAACAAAAAAACACACCTGCTGGTGGGTGCCAAATGAGTTGGCCATTTGGACACAGGAAACAATATAGCGGCAGGCTGGTAACCCACGTAGACTGTAAAAGTAATGGGTGTAGCCACCATGACATCACCCATTGGTTTGTTGACTACCGTTTTGAGGCCTTGAGTTCAGCATTTCAGCCGTTGCCATCTTGATTTTTTTAACCCAGAAGTGATCATATTTGGGTGACAGGGTGGAGCTTTAGAGGAGCAAGGTGTTGTTCTGAATTACATTACACTGAGAGGTGTTTCAAATTATTTGTCCTGTTTACATACAGAATATGAGAAACACCTCTGAATATAATGCAGTGCAGCACAACACCACCATTAACCACTAACATTATGAGCATCATCAGTGTGGACCTAACGGCAAAGCAGTTGAATTGGATAACATTAGACTGCACATGTGTAGCTAATAAAGTGCCCATTTTGTGTAAATATACTTTAGTATGTTTGTACTTAGTTTATTTTACATGTTCATGTCCACTTCGCTGCTTCTCCATACTTTTGCTTCCTACTTTGCCTCTGTATTGTCAGTGTAAGAATGTGCAGTGTGCCTCAGAAGCACAAAAGCAGCAGATGAAAGAGAGGCAGATTAAGCAGTCAGGGGTAGAGGTTCCAGTCAGAGGTAATATGAAGTTCATTCTTATTCTCAGAGGCCTCCAACTGGCTTCCCCTTAAGTTACCTGCTCCTTTTAAACATTTCACCTGTGTCTTGTCCGGGTTCAAGGATACTGCACATGAGCATCTCATTAGTGCACTGGGGAGCTTCTTTCATTTGCAAGATGAATGGGAAAAGTTCTGCATTTGCTCATCCATGGTTACAGTGTTATCCACAACTGTCTGATCTCTGTTGAGTTTAAGTGCTTGGGGCTCGTAGAAGTGTCACAATGAGAAACCGCAGGTTTTGAATGACATCGTCTTGGTTTAGCAGGCATCCGAAAAATCAATTTGTGGGCAGTGACTGTTCTGCTGATGGTTCCTGTCTTTTGTGGGAGTTGGTCAGTGAGCCAGCAGCAGTGCTTCTTGTCACTGCCTGATTAATTGGCTTCAATCCATTCAGCAGTCATTGAGTCAGATGAAGAGAGACAATAAGGGCCTTTCATTCCTCTCAAACTGAATTGGTAGTGAATGCAGAGGAAGCCACTGAAACAAGCCTTGTAAAACATGCTCATTTCCTTTGATGGAAGTGGGCTTAATAATGAGCACAGAGGAATAGTCATTGATTAGACTGTGATGCATCTTCACATACATGTTTGTGGTTCCTAGAGAGGAGGGCTCAAATAAATCTTCCTTTATCTCTAATTCCTCTATTCATTAATCAAACAGAACAGGGTGATGAGCTGAATTACGAGTCCAGCTCCCCACCACTTGCATCTGGGTTGAGGAGGCCATCTCAATGTTGTGTATCCCACATTCCCAAACCAAAGACCCCTGGCGACCACTTGTCACAGCCATCTCCTGACTGGTAATTGGGTATTTATCTGATTGCCTGCGAGAGGACGATGCAGTGTTTATCTGACACAATCATCAAGAAAAATGGGGGCACCTAGTCCGCTGCTCCTCCAGGATACTGGCTTGCTACTGGTTCAGGTGGCCAGGCAGAGTGAAAGCGCTGTAATCTTTCTGTCTAACCACTGGGACTTCTTTATCAGACATTTAGCCGCGAATACGCTTGTCATCATCACATGCAAATGGGGCAATTGTGAAAATATAACACATAATTCTTTGGCTCTTCTGTGACACTGGAGGGATGAGAAGTGACGATAACACACGCTGCAACAATGAGCTCCCAAATGATTGAGATCTGAGAGACAGCCTTTTCAGAGGCTCTTCTAATTCTGAGAGCAGGAAATGCATATAAAGGGGGTGCAAAAGTGTTCAGTGAGTACCCGAAGATAAGATTGGAGAAAAAGCTATAAGAGCAAATTGGTGTGCTTGTGCCTTCTTTTTCCTGCAAACCTATTACAGAAAGGGGAGTAAGAGAGAGACAGGAAGAAAAGGATGACATAAAAAAGAAGGAGCTGCCAGTAATGAGTGGCAAATAGTCCATTTGGTTTTGCATGAATTAAACGGACACGGAAGTTTGGAGGAATTAAAGGAGCATTTAGCACATGATTGGAAGGAGAACATAGCGCAGTACTGAGAGTGTGAAACTTTCTGAGCATTGCTAGCTTTGCATTGTGAGCATTTTCTTTTCATTATCACACATATTCACCTTCTTACCATGGTGAGGTGGTGTTTAATGCTCTTCATCATCTCAAAAGATGCAAGGCCTGAAGAGACTCAGCCACTACTGTAGCACCTTGAAATTTATGATAAAGGGAAGTCCATCATATTTTAGTTGAAGCATATCCAATTCAAGGAGTATGTCACGCCTGCAAAAAAGGCCCGCAAAGAGGAAATCATAGTGCATAACTGTGCAGAGAGGGGAGTGTGAAAGAGAGAGAGATATGGAGAAATACCAGGAGACGGAGCAGCCGAGGCATCCTGGCCCGCTGGATGTAATCAAACAAGGGTGAACAGGTTGTTCCACAGATGGCTGATCCGGAGAATCCTCCGATTTATTTCCATGCCACAGACGGTCCCTGTCACTACGCACAGGTGATGTCAGCAAAGCGGCATTGTCTCGCACACACCACTAAACTCGGACACTTTAGTCTCACCTGTCTGGAATCAGTTTGACACAGAGGTGTTTGTTGTGTGTGTACAAAAGGAGATACTGAGTAAGAGTTTAGCAGCAGAGAAAGTCGATTTTCAATCTTCTTAACATTCTAACACTGAACTCTCCCAGGATAATAAATTATAGATTCAGCTGCTATACTATTACAACATAAAGGAACTCAATTCTCTGTGGAGTTCCTTTACTTTGTTTATTGTTTGTCATGAAAGCTACTTTGTATTTACTAATGCTTTAAAGTGCCATTAGAAAAGGTTGCTTTATGTATCGTGGTCTTGTTGTTGCAATGATTGTTGTTTTCCCCTGCACTCTGGCATTTTATTGTAATTTGCACAACAAATTGAATATCCATTTTTCTTTTTTCAACCCAGTAAAGAGAGAGGTATCTCAGCATCACTCTTGACCTGTTTTCTGTTTATCTCCTTTCCTCAGATTGACGCCCAGTGATGCCAGGACAGTGAGCATCATAATGCATGGCACGTGGTCAGGGGCCACGCCCCTCCTCATAATGGTTCTGCTCAGGATGACACAGGGCCAGGAGGTTCCTTTAGTTCCAGGTAAGCTGTTTCACATTTCTCTGCACTGGCATGTTCTCATCAGTGATGAATACATCATTGTCTGGCTCCATCATCATGGTTTGTCAGTGTGTCTGTCAGTCTGCGATTGTCTGACTATTATGTGCCTGACACCTTTGCTGTAGCTTTAATGATTTATTTTCGGCATGTAACCGTAAACCTTATAGTGTGAGGAGTTACATCAGTCTTTTGGCATCAGAGTTGCAAACTGTTCTTAGCACACATCAGCATTTATATGTAGTCCAGTGCAGTCTTTAACAATAGATATTCATAGAAAGCTGAGCTGTCTCAGGAAACTTGTAAGCATTTGTCTTGCTATACAGTACACTGAGTGAAACAGCTTTCTGATTGGCTGGAAGATACCTGTCCTATCTCAATAGACACTGTGTGTATGCTCAGATAGGCTCCAGTCTTACTGATAAGGATATAAAGAATGGAATGAATGGAGTACGTTTGGGACATTTGTCACAAAGTAAAAATGAGTATGTTTCAGATTGTAAAAATCGACTGTGAATCCTCTGTGACCTGAATGTGCCGACAGAAATCATGCCAGTTTTATCAGTGTGTATAGAACTGGTCTCCAACCTCATCTGTCTCTACACTCTTGCTGGAGCATCTGTTTTGGGTTAACGCTGCACAGGTAATATCCTATACATTAAAATTCTATGAGTTGGTATCTACCCTGTCCCTCAGAATCGTACAAATGAAACTGATTTGGGAAGTTTAGAAGCTCTCTCTTGAGTTACAATGAATGCTCTGCCAGATGTGCGTAAATGTGGGTGGTGCAGCAAAAACTAAATATCCTGAAACAATGTGTTATCTCTTCTCCTGAGCACTTTTCATTGATCTTGGTTGTAAATGTGGACGAGGCATGTGGTTAGGGCTGCCACGATTAGTCGACTAATCGATGACGAATCGACTATTAAAATAATCAGTGACTATTTTAGTAGTCGACTAATTGGTTTGAGTCATTTTTCATAGAAAAGTACTATAAAAATACCCCAAAATATTCTTACTGCAGCTTCTTACGTTCAGATATTGGCAGCTTTACACACTCTCCCGTGACAGTGAACTAAAACCCTTAGGCGTGAGTAAGAAACAAGACATTAGATGACGTAATTTTGGGGTTTGGGCGAGACAGACCGACATTTTTCAACATTTTAACACATTTTTCGATGAAATGATTAGTCGACTAATCGAAGAAATTATCGACAGATTAGTCGACAATGAAAATAATCGTTAGTGGCAGCCCTACATGTGGTGCTATGAAACATTAGTTGAACATTCACTCTGCTACTCAGTGATAAAAGTCCTAATAAGAAATGCCCCAATTATCATTTGAATATTACTTAAACTTCTGGGTATTTTGAGTGCTGCAGACATTGGACTAAGCTCTTTTGAAGCACCTCACCTCACAAGAGGTCTGAATAGATATTGTATCTGGTGGTTGAGTATTTTGGGCTTGGTTTGAGAGAGGCATTGAGTCGGAAATGTATTACTGAAACTCTCTGTGGCTTCTCTCAAAAAGTTACAAGGTCACCAATGAATTTCAGATATTCCCAACATTCTAAAGCTAAGAAATGGGAAACCATGTGTGAGAGTCGGGGTAAAATTAAAAAAAAAAAAAAAAAAAAGTTGTTGCTACCTCACCCTTTCTAGTTAGGCCAGTAGTGAGAAGTCTTTTTTAATGGCCTGTACTTCTTTTCTTTTCAATATTTTGAATTTTCTTTTTTGGTGCAAAAACCAAACAGTAGTGACTGAACAGATACAAAAATGGGGGAAACTCTCAGGATGTAATTGGACTGAAATTCAGCCTGTGACTTCAAAATGGAGAGGCCTTTAGAATTGTGTGGCAGTAATTTTTCACTTTAGGATATCTTGCTGACACCTGCCTCCCCAGTCTGTATAAGCCCATAGCCACTGATTTAAAAAAAAATGACCAGTCCATGCAAGCCTAGGCGAGCTGGTAACAAAGTCCCAGTATGCTGCCAACTACTGCTATCTTCCTTCCTGTCCTCCTGTCCATTTTCACTGACTTTGGACGGATGGAACTCTTGACAATTAGAATGACTGAGCCGATCAGACAGAAGGATCAGTCCAAATTTTGGAGGATCTGCTTGTTTCCACCTTCCATATCGAAAGTGTGGGATTGGCCCAGTGTGGCTGCAGGGGCCAGGCCGGCCCAGGCCACAGCCAAGAACCGTACCATACAGTAACTACTGACATCAGAAATTAAAAAATAAAAACTCTATGACCACATGCCGGTTTGGCGTGGATGACCCGGTCATTTGGGAGTCTTCCCGAACTTCCCAATGGCCAGTCAGTTCCTGAAAACACTAGTCCATGTACCATGTTAATCCTTGATCATGGTACTGTCTGTTGTGCTTCTCGTGTTGATGAAATTCCAGTCACTTTAAGTTGACTGTTGGTTTTTATGATTTTGAAGATTTTAATAGGTCCAGAGAATGCACATTCCCGGTGCAACATGCCATTATTTTTTGTCATCAAGGTGGAAATGTGTGGTAGGAATGGTGCACTTTTTAGTTGACCTTTGCCTGATAAAAAATACTTTCTCTCAAAATGTTTCACATTTCAGTCTCAACGCTGTCACGCATCTTGTTCTAAGGGTGTAAATCTCTATACAATATTTGTCGATATTACAAAGTCTGCCATGATACTATTTCAATTTGATGTGATTCAGGGGCCTGCGATCGATATGAGATGATTTCTTTCTTTTTTACTTTTTGCCATAATAGTTAGCCTATAAACAGTACATAAGTAATTGTGCAATAAAGTTTACTTTAAATTAACTCCACAGACACACAGCCATAAAACATGGATTAACAACAACATTGTTTAACAAAACTATTCAGTTCAGCTCAGTAACTGTCAAGATTCATAGAGCAAACAATAGTTTTTAGCTAGTCACTCATTGTTAGCTTTAGCATGTTTACATTGCAATAAATAGCCTAGCAGCTAGCGAACCTTTTTCCTCCACTCATAGCCTAACAAATTACATGTAATGTTATTAATTTTCTTACTTACCCTTAACTTGAGTCACTGCATCTCCCAACAGAACAGTACGTTTAAATTTCAACCTGCGTGGATGTTTTTTCAGCCGAACATTGTTGAAACATAGCAGCCAGCGTTGCTGTAGTGAGAGGTTAGCTGAGTGAGATGCCCAGCCAGGCAGGTGCATCGTGTTTTATCTCACAATGGGACTGTTACATACGCCATGTGTTCTGTCTGCTGACCCATATTTTCTCTATAATCTAAAATATTTCCACACTGCTGATTTTTTTTTTTCCCCCGGAAGATAACGTTACCCTCACTGTCTTTCTCTTGGCTGCTTGCCATCTGCCCACTGCTGTTTGACGGTGACACAGACTTTTAAACAAAAAAATAATAATAACCTAAAGATGATGATATGGATCGATTTTCTCTCTTTGCATTGATGATATTGGATCGTTGATCATGGAATCCATATATCGATCCGGATAGATGGATCGTTACATCCCTATTTTGTACAGGGTGCGTCGCATAATGACAATGCCTTGACATTAACATTAGCTAGGTAGCTAACATAATGCTATGTTAACAGAGTGTTGACCACGCAGTTAACAGCAAGCTTTCAACACGTACAGTGATAAAAGCACAACACTCACCGGTAACACCCAGTATCCGACTGATCTGCTCCCACAAAAGGGCTCTTCCATCTGTGTTGTAATAGTTTCTGACTGACAGTTCGGGTGGACAATAGCTAAAGGAGCAGCAGTGACGAAAGAAACCAGCACCTTTCTTAAAAGTTCAACTCAGAGCCCTTGGAGCAAGAACACAAAAAAGCTGGAGATGCCAGCGTTATTTCTCTAGGCGGCTGCATACATTCTCCTCATTGTGACCACTTGAAAAAAAGACACCAGCACTCTAACAAAAGTGGACACAGGCCCTTATATGGGCTTGTTCTACCATGATTCAGTTGGACTTTTGACGAAATGTGTTTCAAGAAGTTTTGTCTCTTATCCACGGCCGCGTCATGTTATTGAAACATCTCCCCGTCAGAAGTAAGAGAATCACCTATAAAGTTTTATTGTCACCACACTCGACAGTCATCACAGTTACACCGTGTTGATTTCGCTCCTTTTCTGCCCAGTTCCCATCAGACAGGACGACAGGTCCATGCAGTCCTGCTTAGCAGGGAATTTCACACTTGCTGCTTTCTGTTATCTACTTTCTCGGGCTCCTTCGCGTCTTTCTATTGCCTTTCACCTCTCATTCATTTTCTTTTACCATGTGTGTGCCACAATCTTCTTTCTCTCCGTATTTTCTTTCGCCAGCATGATCTAGGAAGCAATTTACTTGTCAAGCAGAGGGCAGTGTGTGGCTTCCTGATGTAATGGTGTAAGTGTGTGACTGCATGTGTGCGCACAGGTGAGGGATCACTACCTTGGCAAAAATGCTTTCAATCACACCGTCGGAGCAGGATTTCTGACTGGCAGCAGTTAGAGCTGTTTCAGGATTAAATTCAGCTCATAGTGAATTCTGCTAAACACTCTGATGTCATCAGAGTGCTATAACCAGGGGCTTTTCTTATCTGTATCTCCTCTCACTCATATTCTGCTCTAGTTATAGCTGTAAAGATACAAGGTGATACCCACAAGAATTGTAAGAGCAGAATGACGTATCTAAGCGTACCGGAGTTGGGAACAAAGATTTGAAAATAGATATTCTTTCTTATGTAAGGTGCTTGATGCCTCAAGCGAGGCGTTCAGCTTCAGTGACAATTCACACAAACCAGAGAGAGATGTCAGATCCAAGTCATGGATTCTACTTTCTGCAAATGTGTCAGCATGGTAAAGAAATTGTCATAAACATCTAGATGCAGGAGAGTCGAACTCCGCCAGGACCCTACGCCTTCCTTGCATTGTCTTTCCATGAGAAAGAAATGTCAAGGCATCGCTTTGATTTTAATT